ATCTTTCATATATTTAATAATTTATTATTTTTATCAAGAATATATTATCACAATTTAAATATAGTTAATTTTGATTGTTATATTAGTTTTAATAATACCTTTGCCACAAAACCATTTTTTTGAATTTCCGTTTCTCTAAAAATGACCCCATATCTTCAGGTCTGATTGAAATGTTCGAGGGTTTTGAAAATATACTCTTTTATTGTTGAGTATCTAAAGCGCACAACGGTGTATATAAACTCATATATATATATTGAGTAGTTTGCAAAAACTTGATTTCAATATCAAATAATTGTTGACATACTCACTATGCTGTAATTAATACGTATGAAATATCTAGCACTTATTGTAATTGGGATATTGTAGCTAGTAAATAATTAAATTCAGTACCTGGATACACAATAATGGCTTTAAGCAAAGGTATTATTAAAACTAATATAACAATCAAAATTAAACTATATTTAAATTGTGATAATATATTCTTGATAAAAATAATAAATTATTAAATATATGAAAGATGATAGTACCAAGGACTATCGGATAGTGGGTTACTGGAGCTCGTGGTCCTATTATAGGACCGGCAATGGAAAGGTATGTTTAGTTAATTATAATTTTAAAAATAAATCCGAAACTCTATACTTACTTGAATTTAAATTATCCAAAATATAGTAATTAAATTATAAATAGTTATTATTTTCTAATTCATTATGCTGTCTAGTTCACCGAGGCTAATTTTGAACCAAGTTTATGCACTCACATGATCTATGCATTTGGTAAACTTAATACTGATAACAAAATTGCCTCATTTGATACCTATTTGGATATTGACTTAAGTATGTACTAAACATTGATAAATTACTACTAATAAAATCATGAGTTATTAATAATTATTTCTAATAATATTATGCTTTAAAACTGTAATATTATTTTGTCCATACATTTATAGTACTTAATATGAATATAACTACAGAAGGGTGGTTGTAATCACTATGAACAGTAATTATGACTATAAACCTATTTTTAATGTAATTAAAATTATTTGTAAATGTTGACCACATCCCTTGACTACCAATCTGCACCGGTATTTCCAACTTATTAATGCCCCCTTAATTGTGGTCATCGGAAATGTGCGGAACTATTTTTACGTCTTATCTCAGACTTCGTATATATTTGTATGGCTTTATGTGACAGTATTTTTGTGTTTTCCGTTTGTTTGCCGTAAAAATTGTTTTTGCGATAAACGTAAACCTCGTTTTATTAAATTTATATTTAAAGTAATAAAACTTTCAATTTCACGCTAATTTAACATTAATTTTTAAAGAATTCTATGTTTTATTTATTTTATTATGAGTAGGTAACTCAGTAAAATAATTTAAAGTAGTCCCTCGGTAGAATCGGGTTTAATTTGATTAAATTCAAAATTACCACTAAACATTTATATTTATTTTAAACCCTGATAAATACACTTTCATTTGAGATACAATACATGTGTTTATTTAAAGTAATAAAAATGTTATTACAGTTTGAATTTGTTCATAAGTAAACCAACCATTCTCTGTATATAAGTGTCGTAGACTTAATTATTTTAAAGAAATATAAAATTATTTTTAAAACTATTTTAAATGTTAAACAAACAATTATTGTTAAATATTTTAATTATATTTTACAGTGTAATCTTTCTAGTTTAGATTTTATTATTATTTGATAAAATATTTCAAAATAATATCAAAAAAAAATTTGTTTATTTATAGAAATGTATAAACATTTCAATGATTTACGTCAGAGGAACCCCCATTTGAAAACATTAGTAGCCATAGGGGGCTGGAATGAGGGGTCAACCAAGTACTCGCAAATGGCTAATAACCCAGGTGCCCGTAAAATATTTGTTGATTCTGTGGTTAAGTTTCTGGGTGAATACGGATTTAATGGCCTGGATGTTGACTGGTATGTCATAAATTTAGTCATTAACACGATTAGTTTTCCAAACTATTTTATTAAATTAGGATTTTAATTTATAAAATTAATATTAAATGCTTACTAACATAGAAACCGTTTAACATTATATGTGGTGTTAGAAAGCAAATTCAGGTCTATGTATAGGCTAAAAATTTAAATATTTTTCATTGCTTTCGAGTAAAGTATTTTTAGCCTATACATAAACCTCAATTTGCTTTCTAACATCAGATATACAAATGAATATCAAATTATTTTAACAAATATAATTTTATTACAGTTTGTACATGAATTTATTGTAAAATATTTTTTAAATGTTAATTTATTTGAAAACATTACTATTTCAAAAAGGGAATACCCGGCTGAAAGGGGTGGTCAGGATCAGGACAAACAGGCATTCATAGACTTACTCCACGAACTTCACACGGCTTTCCAACCGCACGGGTATCTCCTGACGGCTGCCGTATCGGCCGGTAAGGCAATAGTGGACAGGGCTTACAATGTGCCCGAAATGAACAAATACCTCGACTTTATTAATGTCATGACGTACGACATGCACGGCAGTTGGGAACAGAAAACCGGTAACCCTGTTAATTAAATTATTAAATTTAATTATTTTCTACATTAAAAATCTACTAGGTCATAACGCGCCACTACATGCTGGGGAAGGGGATGATAAAACACTTACCGTTGAATACGCTATTAATTATTGGTTAGGATTAGGGGCTCATCCTAACAAACTTGTAAGATTTCATTGGTACTTTTATGAACTAATTAAATATAATAAACTAAAAATAAAATTAGTTAATTTGAGTCCGTTTTAGTTGCCAGAAATTTTAAAAAATAGTTACATCAATGATTTATATAAAATAAAATATTTTTATTATAGTTTTAAATTTTCAATTAAATATCTCACATTAGGTGTTAGGCCTACCCTTTTATGGGCGTACATTCACGTTGGCCTCACCTCAAAACAATGGGTTTAACGCACCTACAACTGGCCCTGGTAGTCCAGGCCCTTATACTAAAGAGAGCGGATTTATTGGTTATAATGAGGTTTATTATAAAAAGTTAAAAAATAAAATATGAAATTATTTTATATATTATTTTTTGATAGATTTGCGAAAATAAGGGATGGGATGTCAAATGGGATGACAAGAGAAAGGCTACCTATGCTGTGATGGGAAGTGATTGGGTTGGATACGATAATGAGCAAAGTATCAAGGCAAAAGTGGAGTTCATTAAGAGTAAGGGTTTGGGTGGGGCTATGGTGTGGGCCATAGAGACCGACGATTTTAGGGGTGTTTGCGGTTCTCAAAAGTATCCCTTACTTAATGCCATTAATCAGGGGTTAAAAGGTTAATAATATCAAAATAACATTGTTAATGTTTCATATTACTTTATTTTTATCATAATACTTAGTGGCACAATTAATAAATCAAGCAAATTGTTTTAAAATAATTAATTAAAATAATTTAATTTTATTATTATTGTTGTTATATTTTAATTATAAAATAAATTATATTAAATTAATATTAAATCTTAATGAGTCGCCTAAACCGGTTTAAATAATATATAAATGAATAAATAATAAATTTTATAAACACAATTTTATTACAGTCCTCGCATAAAATTGTGAAATATTTTCAAATTTGCTAGTTTAATTTAAAACATTACTACCATATTTCAAAAAGGGAATACCCGGCTGAAAGCGGTGGTGATGATCGAAATAAACAGGCATTCATTGACTTACTCCGCGAACTTTACACGGCTTTCCAACCGCACGGGTATCTCCTGACGGCTGGTAAGGCAACAGTGGACAGGGCTTACAAGTAATGTTCCCAACCCTCCAGTTTAGCCTGAAATCTCCAGGAATCGGGAGTTCATATCAGGTTTCAGTTTGAGTCTGACCTGGATATGGGGGGAACTCCAAGAAAAATTCATAACAATTTTAAAAATACATATTTATTATGTTATATAATAGTATGATTGTATGACTTTTATTTTAAAAATAGTTAAAGTAATACATTAAATTACTATTCAATTCAATGACTACAGTATAATATGCATTACTTTGCTATAATATAATAGAACCCTTTACCAGTGTACAGTACTTGTGTATTTAAATAGACATTTACTGCAATGATACATAAATATCACAATTCCATTTTAAGCCAGGATCATTTAATTAAATTCAAATAAGGCATGTATTTTATATATTTGGTGAACCAGTTTCCTTCTGGTGATATCGACCCAAAACACCGGAATATAAAACAATAGCTATAATTATTGTGCTAGTATAAAAACTAAGTTTATAATTTTGATATGAAATTAATTTTGTGTGTTATATTGGCTACAATAACAATTCTATTGATAGTTAATATTGAGTCCAATAAAGGTTTTTAATAATTTTAAATTAATTATAATAATTGGATCTAGTTTATTATAGTTAAATATTTTTTAATCTTTACTTTTAAGATCGTAATAACAGGGTGTATCGCACTGTATGCTATTGGGGCACCTGGTCCTATTATAGGACTGGCAATGGAAAGGTATGTCATGAACTTATTATTTATTTATAAAAAATATATATATAAATATATATTATGATGACCCTGCACAGTTCACCGAAACCAATCTCGACGCTAATCTGTGCACACATTTGATCTATTCATTCACTAAACTCAATACAAACAACACTATTGTACCGTTTGATCCCAATTTAGATGTCGATAAAGGCATGTATATAATGATTGATCATGGTATTGCTAATATTTTCTATGATTTAATCTTGATAGTGATATCCACATATTTTTAATAAGTTTCATAATAAGAAACTGTAATAATAATGACATGATAATATAAATAAGTTGCTGTTAATTAATGTTTTAATTATTGGTGATTTTCGCAATGACACTTTTATTTATAATAGTTTAACTTACAGTGAGATAAAAATTATTTTCTTACTATTAAGTTACAAATAGTTATGTAAAATGTAATAACTGTTATAAAATATATAAAAAGTATTTTATATTTTTTTATATAAAATAATATTGTTGGTAATTTAGAAAATTAAATGCATTAGAATTTATGTGCACTTAAATGAGCTTTATCAACTGTACTAAAGTATTAAGTTATGACATAACTGTTATGTTAAGATTTAAATCTAGTTATCATTTATAATAGATATCATAATTAGAAACTGTAATAATTATTATAGTAACTTTATAATATAAATATATTGCTCGTATTTAATGTTTTAATTGTTGGGCAAATATATTACGACGAAATAATTAATATTTTTAAAAGATTAACTAAAATAACAATATATTTATTATTATTAAGTTGAAAATAGTTATTTTAAATTTAATACAAAATTTTAATATATTCTTAGTAATTTAAAAAATGTTTAAAAATAATTTGATAATATTATAATTTTCCAATATTTCTGACCAGGCATGTTTAAACATTTCACTGATTTGCGTCAAAAAAATCCCCATTTGATAACATTGGTGGCCATAGGGGGTTGGGGTGAGGGGTCTGATAAGTACTCGCAAATGGCTAATGACCCAGGTGCCCGCAAAACATTTGTCGATTCAGTGGTTAAATTTGTGGGTCAACACGCATTTAATGGCCTGGATGTTGATTGGTGAGTTATAAAAATTATTTAGTCAAGGTACAGTAGATTAACATTGATCATTGGTAATGTCGTAAAATTATAGTATTACAATAAATAATAAATATTATTATAAAAAGTTTAAAATAGGTACTAAGTTATAAAATATAAATGAGCCAGTTATTAGGTCTGTTTGTGAATTCAATCAAATAAATACTTAAAAATTATACAAAATAATATTATTGTAAAATCTATAAAGTATTACAGTTTTAGTTTTTTAGCAAAAATTATAAATAGCATTAAATTGTAAACTTACTTAAAATTACTGGGTCCATTCAAAAACTTTATAATTTTTTTATGATATATAAATATACAATTATTTATTTAATTACAATTCTTGAATAATAAGTAATTTTGTCAAATATATAGGGAATACCCGGCTATGAGTGCCGTCGGGAACGGGGTCCGTAAAAATGGTAACTCAGCCGACAAACAGGCATTCATCGACTTACTCCGCGAACTTCACACGGCTTTCCAACCGCACGGGTATCTCCTGACGGCTGCCGTATCGGCCGGTAAGGCAATAGTGGACAGGGCTTACAATGTGTCCGAAATGAACAAATACCTCGACTTTATTAATGTCATGACTTATAATATGCACAACAGTTGGAAAAATAAAACCGGTAACCTTGTTAATTATATTATTAAACTTTATATTACTATGGTGTCTAAAAATATACTAGGTCATAACGCACCCCTACATGCTGGGGAAGGGGATGATGAGAAACGTACAGTTGAATACATTACTAACTATTGGCTAGGATTAGGAGCTCAACCTAAAAAACTTGTAAGATTTCATAATAACAAATTTTGTACATTTTTTATGAAAATAAGTTTATGCAATAAGTATGTTTAATTTAAATTTAAATTTTGCTATATAAAAATAACTTACAATTATTTAATTATAATTTTTAAAATTCAACATTTATAATATAAAATAAACCAGCTGTTATAATCGAATAAAACATTAACATTTAAAATGCTAGTATTCGTGTATAATATAAGCTTAATATTACAGGTTTACTTTAAGACATTAACTTTGACCATGATAGATTAATATATTTCACAATAGGTGTTAGGCATACGCTTTTACGGACGTACATTCACGTTGGCCTCAAACCAAAGCAATGGGTTTAACGCACCTACAACTGGCCCTGGTAGTCCCGGTCCTTATACTAAAAAGAGTGGAGTTTTGAGCTATAATGAGGTCTAATTAAAAACAAGTCTAAAATTAAAAACATGAAAATATATTTTATTTGTTTATTTTATTAGATTTGCGAAAATAAGGGATGGGATGTCAAATGGGATGACCAGAGAAAGGCTCCCTATGCTATAAAGGGAAATGATTGGGTTAGCTATGATAATGAGCAAAGTATCAAGGCAAAAGTGGAGTTCATTAAGAGTAAGGGTTTGGGTGGGGCTATGGTGTGGGCCATAGAGGCCGACGATTTCAATGGAGTTTGCGGTTCGGAAAAGTATCCCTTAATTAATGCCATTAATAACGGTTTAAATGGTTAATATATTTAAGACATTGGAGAGCCACCATGTGAAATTAGTATTTAATAAATTAATGAATTATTTTGATTATTAATTTATATAAGATTATTTATGTGAACATTGTTTTGCATTTAATTGAATCAATAATTTATTAATTTAAGAAACTGTAAGTTTTATTTAAAATTTATATTATATAATTTACAAAATTTATATTAATAATATTAAAATCGGAAAGTTGCAAACTTTTGATTTTATTATTGCCCTCAAACTGTAATTTCAAATTATTATTTTATTTTATTATTCATTATTATTTTATATAAATTAATGTATTTAATTTATATATAATTTTTATTTTAATTATGCGATTCACAAAATTATCTATTATTTAATGAGTATTAATAATGGTTTAAATGGTGAATAATAAAACAAAAATTATTGTAAAACATTTTTTTATTAGTACTAATTTAACAATTTATTAATTCAAAACTTATATTATTAAAGTTTATTATTTACTTGACAGTTTATTTAATAAATTTATTTAAATAATATATAACAATATAATTAAAAAATTATTCCAATAAATTATTATTGTAAAATTTAATGACTGTAAATTATGTTATATTTTACTTATGATTTAACAAAATTTAAATTGTTCATATAACTATCGGCATTACCACTAAACTGATAATAAATGTAATATGTTTATTTTTTATAAATTGTATATCAAATCTACTATATAAATTATAATAATAACTGAAAGCACATTAATTATTTCTTAATACAGATTAAAATACAAATACAAATAAAGATTCCTGTACATTTGTGTTTAAATAGAAATTTAAAACAATGATTCCCTAAACAACAATATAGTATATCCATTTTAAGCCAGGACCTTTAATGTCAAATACAAATAAGGTATGAAATGTACTAAATAAATTTACTAAACTTATTTGGTCAACCAGTTTCAGTTTAGTGAGATCGACCCTGAGCACTGAAATATACGACAATGGCTATAAATCGTGGTATTTTGGTAATAAGTTTGTAATTATTTTGCTAGTATATAAATACATAAAATTTACCTGTTTATAACTTAGTTATAAAATTAAGTTTTTGTTCATTTGTTATGCTAAAGATGAGCTCTATATTCATAGCATTGACTATAATTTCAATTATAGCTAATATTGAGTGCAATAAAGTTTTTTCAAGTATTAAAGAAATATTTTCATAATTTATTTAAATTAAATTACCAGTATTGTTTAACAGTTAATTGAATAAAAAATTTTATTATTGATCTCGGAGACTGTAAGTTTTATTTAAAGTTTATATAATTGACTAAATACATATTATTATTTATATTATTGGGAAGTCATAAAACCTTCAATATTATTATTATTGCTTTTAGACTGTAATCTTAAATTAATTATAAATTATAATTAACTTATCAGTTGTATTTTATTTTAATTATGGTGTTCGGGAAAATGTTATTAATAATGGTTTTAATAATAAATAATGTATTTATTGTTTTCCATAGTAAGGTGATACAATTCAATTTGGTTAGTTTTAAAATGAAGTTGTATGATTTTTATTATAAAATAATTTTATTTATTGAGACTCATAAAGCTAAAGTTAACAAACATTCAAATTTACAGATTATTCAATTGTTTATTAATACTAGTCTATATTATTGATATTTAAAAAAGTAAATTACTTTTTTAAGTAAATTAAAAACTATTAGTAATCTTTTATAAATGCATACCAAATATAACTGGATTTGAAATTATTACAATCAAATTCATTATATTGCACGTTAAATATTTGTTATCTACATTATATATATGAATTAAATATTTCAACTATGTATATAAATTTATTATAAATAACAAATATTTTTTATAAATTCTAAATAAATTTTGCTTAATTTTCAAATAATAGTAAAAATAATGATATTTATTAATAATTAACTATAATTGTTATAATGGTAACTATAGCAGACATAGTAATGCGTGATAACAAACCTTGATTATAATAATGTAATGTTTGATTAGCAGTGTAAATAGTTTTATATAAAAACACTGTACTTGTATACTTGTGTATGTTTTAATAGACATTTAATGCAATGATAGCAAATGATAGTTTATTTATAATAAACCAATATATGACATTTCCATTTTAAACCAGGATCTTTTACTTAAATACAAATAACAAATAAGGCATTCATTGTACATATTTGGTCAACCAGTTTCCCGTCGAGTGATATCGACCCTGAGCACCGGGATATACGACAATGGCTATAAATCGTGGTATTATGGCAATAATTTTGTAATTATTGTACTTGTATATAAATACTTAAAGCTCAATAGCTTATAATTAAATTTTAGTTATAAAATTAATTTTGTGTCAATTTTTTGTATTGTTAAGAATGAACGCTATATTCATAGCATTGACTATCATTTCAATTATAGTTAATATTGAGTCCAATAAAGGTTTTTAACTTTAAATTAATTAATAATTATTGTATCAATTATTTATGATAGCTATATATTTATATTTTAAGATCGTAATAACAGGGCGTATCGCACTGTATGCTATTGGGGCACCTGGTCTTATTATAGGACTGACAATGGAAAGGTATGTCATTAAAGTAATTTTAATCTTATAAACATTTAAAACTTTTATGATGACCTT